GAAAAATTTTCGAAAATTTGCAATCGGAAATGCGAAAACTTGGAAATTTCGCTTTGTTTGCAAACATTGATCTGTTTATTTTTGTCTCCAATGTTTATTTACATTTTTTGGATTGTTTATTTTGGTTCCCAATGTTTATTTACATTTTTTTGATGAAAACACACTGTGTTTTGAAAAATTTTCGAAAATTTGCAATCGGAAAGGCGAAAACTTGGAAATTTCGCTTTGTTTGCAAACATTGATCTGTTTGTTTTGGTTTTCAATGTTTATTTACATTTTTTTGATTGTTTATTTTTATTTCCAGTATTTATTTACATTTTTTTGATGTAAACACACTTTGTTTTGAAAAATTTTCGAAAATTTGCAAGTGGTGTAATGGCCAACACATCCATTTATTACTTAATGTACAAGTTTTCAAGATACAAACACCAGAATGTGCAAGTGCTTGTCACTGAAGTGAGGATCAGGTGCGAGACTGCAGGTTAAGCGTGCAGCGTGCGTAACACTTTTAGGATGGGTGACCGTCCCTGCTCGTCCTAGAGGTTCCTAACAAACTGAGCATCTGGGGTAGCTGTCGCTGCCATTAACTGCACTGATGAATCTGGTGACTCTAAAACGGAGGCCACTCTACGTTCTTATATCATTTATAATTCTACCTTGACCATCATCATTCTACATCTTTCCTAAAAACATACATCTAAGTATAGCCATAGTATCAAGGATTGCACTAGTGTGCTACAAGGATACAAATATGAGTCGCGTGTCAGACGAGAAGCACAGCCAATAGTGTATGACATGGGCACAAACGAGGTATATGAATAGACCTAGCATACAATATATTTTTTCGACCAACGATTCGAACGGGTCTCAGGACCCCTTTACCATTTTCGTGTCACAGCCTATCATACCGATTCAGGCAAGTCTTGCACTGCATCGTTACTATGGATGAAAATGTCAATTTAAAAATATGCACAATACTGCCAAAATAAATAAGAAAAAATATATATGCAAATTATTATATTATATAGGTTCGTTTAGACTTTTCTTATAATTCTTAGTTCACTGTTCAAAATAGTAAGTTTGTGAAATAATCTAACTTGAAGAAATTGGGAGAATTGGATTTATAATTATTGTTATAAAATATTCTTGTACTCGTAAATTACATAATATATCCTACAAAAATTTTTTCAATTTTTTGTAATCTACTTGTTCTATAAATTTTATAAGATCATCGACTAACTAAAATGTATTTCAATGGACTAAAAAATAGAAGTCCAAATTCTAAAAGTTCAAGAATCAATTCTTTTTATCACATTTCTTAGAAATGAAAATTTAATTGATTTATGAACATTATTGACAAAAAATATAAATTTAATGTTAAATCCAATGATTTAACATCTATACATTATATTAATACACATATATATATATATATATATATATATATATATATATATATGTATGTATAGTTTACATTGTACACTTTTTGCTTGCCAGGGTGCAATGTAGTATATAATATATATATGTTGTCAAAGGAGTATTTGAAGAACACACCAAGATAATATTTAAAATAAGATTGTTGCTTTTTATAATTTATATACATATATGTATAAAGATGTAAACATAAAGTATGGCAACGTGTCAAAATGGCCGATCTCAACAAAGAACTAAACGAATATCTTCTTAGCAGTAAAAATGAAAAGCAATTTAAAATTACCGTACCTTCGGTGACAATACCGAAAGCGAACATTGGAAAATGGTTCGGAAGAAATGAAGACGACAAGGAAGAGACAGGATGGATCCATGGAGCACAAAAGGAATGTTGTCCTAGTATGGTATGCATAACCTATATCGCTAAATATATTTATAAAGTCGAGTTTAAAAGTTAACAAATTTTGTCTTTTTCATTTTTTGACAGACAAGAATACAAAGGTTAATAGCTTTTGTCGTATGCTTTTCTATGGGTGTACTTTGTTTCTGTCTATCAGCGGTATATGTTCCAGTTCTACTAATTAAAGCGAGAAAGTTTGCACTTTTGTACACTTTAGGAAGCGTCTTCTTCCTCTCAAGGTGAGCTTATGAATCCATGAAGAATTATACAGAATTGATATTGAATTAATTTTTGTAGCTTTTGCTTCCTTTTGGGTCCATTAAGTTATTTAAAATCATTATTCACTGCTGAAAGAAGGTGTTTCAGTATGTCCTACTTTGCAACTTTAATAGGAACACTTTATTGTGCTCTACATTTGCAGTCTACCCCATTAACAGTATTCTGTGCTGTCTTGCAATTAATAGCTATGCTATCATTCTTGATAAGTCATATACCAGGAGGAATTAAAGGTCTAATGTTTTTTACAAGAATGTTCAAGTCTTCTGTGAATTCTACATTGCCTGTATGATATCTTAGTGACTTAGATATTAAATATATACATGAAATTAACATTATATCTCTAATTTTAATATTTTATAAATATCTCCATATAATATAAAATATAGTATTTATACACAAATGGATAACATGCTAAGCATGTTTTTACGTGAACTGAACATATATAAAAGACTGATTTAACATATAATTAGATTTTATGTAGTATGTATAATAATAATACGTTTACTCATATTTAAAATAATGAATCGGTAAGAACAATTTTGTTATAACGAATAAAAAATTAAAATTGCTATATATATAAATTAGTTATATGGAATATATAATTTTTGTATATAATGTATTTATGTGTATAAAAAGTACAGTTTTATTATTTCTGTATATTTATATACATATACTATACTGTTGTAAGAACTATTTATTTACTGAAATAAAAATTGTATTTACATATTCCACATTTGCTAACTATGTAAAATAAAAAATTCTCTGATCAGATTTATGAAATATATAATATTAATTTTTTTATATCATTTTTTATGTTTTGAAACTTTTGTTGCTTTTATGCGATTAACGTTGCCCTGCAAACGTTTAACTTTCAGTGGCAAATATTTAACATTTGCGGATATATTACCAATTTTTCGTTTTTTCGAGTTTTTATTTTTAGGAATGTGTGTGTATCGTGTATTTTTCTTTATGCTTGTATCTAATTCATCAACATTATACTTAGTTAAGGAAATAAAATCATTTTGTTCCATTGTTTCTTCTACAATAGGCTTATTTGTGGAATTTTCTTTTGTGCTAGGTGGAACAAATGATCGTTCTTTACGCGAAGATCTATACATGTATACGTCTGCAGATACTGTAAATTTAATTGGTTCTAAAGATACTTGAGATTCATTCTCAACACTTATTTTGTTGTCTTTTTCGTCTGATATTGTTTCTTCTGACAATCCAGTATCTTTGAATAATTGGAGTCTATTGCTTGGTAAAGGTACATCCTTAAAAATATCACATATTGTAATATATAAGGGATGAAAATAATGATCTGTAGAATCTATTACAACATTCTGAAATCAAAATTATAAAAATAAAATAGAATTCAGCAAAAAATTATTTGAAATACTATACCTTTAAAGCACATGCAGCAGATGCAAATCCTATGGATTTTAATGTTACAGTCTTTAACTTAGGTAATAATAATACTGGTACTTTCTTATTCTGTGCCATATGAATAATGTGTCTTATTAAAAGCGGCGGTGAAATATTTGCATCCATTAAAATACAACAGATGTTGTTCTTTTCTAAAGATCTAGTAATAGCATTTATACCCAAGACTACAGAATTCCTAAAAATTTCAAAAATTTTTAAATTATATATAAATCAAGGAGATATACAGTAATATAGTTGAGAATATTTACGCTAAGTCTGAATTAGAAACATTTTCTTGTTCTTGAAGTGCTTCTTTTTTGGCTTTTACACGTTCCTCCTTTTTCAGCTTTTTGAGCTGTGACCATGGAATTAATTTAGATGGACGTTTTATAGTTGGCAATAATCTAAAAATATAAATCATGAAAAATACCAATTTATATGAATACTTTTGTTCTTTACAATTTTTTAAAGCTTACTTATTTAAAATTTCTTCTAATAATGGACATTTTTCTTCATCTACAATTGGCCTAAAAATATACATTATTATGATAAACTGTTTTATACGCTGTGTATAAATTTAGTAAATATGATTATATATGAATTGGAGAATTTACACGTACCAATAATTATCTTGCGGTTGGGCTAAGACATTTCGTAGCTTTTTAATTGATCCTTTTTTCGCTGACAATGAATGTTTCTGCTGATGTTTTGTCAATATCGGAGTATCCATCGTAAAAATATCGAAATATTGACATAGGTTAAGTTCTCTACCAGGCACGTGGTAATTGATTAAGATTAAACCATGAAGTATGACATAGATAGATCATCTACATACGCTGGAATATCAGTAATGGTAAAACAAAAGTAATGGAGAATTTAAAACCATCATATTTTCAAGAATTCTATTATTACAAGATCTCGTATAATTATATACATTCACTAATTTCAAAGTAGAAAAGCGATAAAAACTACGAAAATTGAGTCTGAGATTTAATCTCGCGTGACAGAAATAACAAAATCTTTGCGAATATTTGCAACTTTACATTGAAATTGCATTGTAGAAAATGTTTGCAGTTTGCAAACATTTTCTACAATGCAAATGTTGCAAGTTTTCGATGCTTAAAGGTCGATTCTCTGTGGAATTTGATTTGAATTAATGGCGCGAAAGCGGCATACGCCGACTATTGTAAACGGTACCCATCGATTCCAGCGGCGCTTGCGACGAATGTTCGCCGAGGTGGAAAACATAGGCGCTACGCCACTGGACCAAAGTGCAGGGGAATGGATAATGTGCAGAATACGGTTTCGAAAGGGAGCAGGACCGCAGCAGTGCACGCAGCAAGTCAAGATTGTCAAGATGGATGCTCGGTGCTGTCGGTGCGGAGTATGGATTTTGCCGCGTGATTCGTAAACAGGGATCGCCGTTGTTGTCGAGTGAGAAAAAGATCGCGCGTCGGGGAGTATTGTTGTTCATGGTGTTTCTTAGGTGTTCCATGGTGTCTCGGTACGCAGCGTTAAGAAACGGGATGGTTTCACATAGTGATGAGAAAAACACCTAAAAGCAGTGCGGGTAGTAGCGGCCTTCTACAATGGTGGATAACAATTGTATTATCGAGGGAAACGTCAAATTTCGCGACGGCAAAAAAGTAAGTACTTTCACTCCGAATTTCTTTCACAGTCGCTTATCCTTTTTCATTTGCCATCGAGATGCCCGATTAATATCGTCGGGGTAACCGCTTAATTCATTATTTGTTAAAACAACATAGCTTAATTCATCTCGCGAATCTGCGTAATGCTGTAACATCACGCGCTATGCTTGTTCACAATTTCGCGAACAAACTTACCTGACGCTTCGTTCCAATAGATCATAATTTAAAGCAAAGCTCGTGTTCGTGTTTAATTATCCCATAATCACACGAGCACGGTGCAGTTTCAATAAAATAATGATACGAAGATGTTGCGCTAACGCGCTCTTCAAACAGTTACGAATATATGTATATACGTGCATGTGTAAGATGTATATATGTACAAGCATTTATTGAATCAATGAAAAACATGATAGTCCAAATTGCAGCAGAATATAATTAAATTTTGCTTCTCTTATGAACATACAGTATACATTGTAATATGTTAGAAATTATGTTATGGAAAAGTTTCGTAATATTATGCATTTAATTAAAACTTTTGACACATAGTCAAACATTAATTAGCATCCATGCTTCATGTGGTAATTGGAAGCCTGAATGTTTCAATGAGTCTGTACCAATATCAAATATTTATTTTCTTATGTCCATTGAAATTTGTGTACAATAGTGTGGTTTTATTTATCATGAGCAAGGAGTTGAATTATGGTGTCCCAATGTGATTTCAATGAGCATTACAACTATTGAGTTGTAAGTTTGTTGAAGGCTTAAGGAAGTATTTAATAAGAAAGAAATGAAGAGTCATAAAGCCATAAAAAGTCATAAAAAGTTAGCTCATTTTCTTTTATTTAGACTGGGGGCACCAAAGAAGTCATTCAATGAGAAAGGGTAGGAAACTCTTTTATTTTGATACAGAGGGTCCGAAATGGATTCAGACAAATATGTACTACATATGTATAATATTGCCCTGCATAATAACTCTATGCAAATATGTAACATATTATTATAGGATATTCATGCATGATAGGATCTGTTCTATTATTTGTGATTACTAGTGTTAAATTATATTAAATGTCAATATTAAATGTTATTAATTTGATAAAGTAAGTGTGCTTGTATATTGAATTATTCCAAATCATCTGTTTGCATTACAGTGGAAATCAAGATGGTGTGTCATGAGAAAATTGTCACCAGTTGCAGGTAAACATTTAACAAAATTTAATTTTTGTTCTTATAAAAAGATTATTTATTTTTATAAATACCTGGATAAAAATCACTTTGTCTGTTCTATCACTAACAGAAACGCAAAACATTATCGCTGGCATAAAACATGTGGGATTAACTATAGATAGTGGGCAGGAAGTGTTGAATATTTTATGTCACATATCTCTGTTTTTTGGTGTCAAAGATGAAAGTACTTCCCTTTTTATATAACATCTGTGCATTCCTCACAATGAATCATTCTTCTGCACCATAAGAAAGACTGCCTTTTAATCTTATCAATGATGATAAAAAAAAAAAAATATGATAAACTTGAGCTACACCTGTAACAAGAGAAACAACAGATGTTGCAAACTGGTTCTAAAAAGCCACTGGCAATTTTATTTCCTATCACATTTCTAATCCCATCTCCTGAAAGAATTTCCTTGCTTGTTATCAGCATAAAGAATCCCTTCCCTTACCGTGGTTGTGTCCTAGGGTGGCAGCTGGCACATCTGTTACTGATTGACTAGCTGGAGAAACAAAAAATTTCCAAGAAGAGCTTTGCTTCTGGCAATAACCATTAATACCTGACCCTTGTAACTTGAGGGTATTTTAAAACTTAGGGACATCAGTAACTCATAAATTTTCTCTAGGGAGAATTAGTTAAGTGTACATAGAAGGGACTCGAAATGGATTTAGTGCGTTTCCACGTTTGTACTGTATTAATAGCATGTCGCGCTCGTCAGTTAGCATACGAAGGATCGTTGACACATTTGTTCGAACGAGCCTTGATAAAAAAAGTCCTCGTTAGAGAAATGTCATATAATAAGAAAATCTTTGACCGTTTCAAACGGATGCATGGTTGCTTAGAAGACGTTATACTCCTTTGTAGATTGTCTTCATTTACAACTTTACGGAGATAGCAAGGATCGATATAAGCAAGGTCAAACGAAAGCCTCATTAAGTTTGCAACATTTTCTCGGTGTGGAGAGTGGTTTCACTCTTGACAAGGAATCCAATACTATAGCTATAATATGCCAAGACGTGACGGTTGTTCTGGCTTTCGACACTAGAGAACGATTGATACAATGGCAAGTGAAAATCTCCAACAACTTGGGCGAAGGTACGCATCATCGTTCGGGAAATCATTAAAAAGAAAAAAAAAAAAAAATCATCGGTTAAGAATTCTAAACGATCTAACGGAAATTATATTCCATTTTTCCGCAGATCAACAGTTTCTGATACTGATCTCCTCGGTTCCGTCGAAGGCGAAGTTGACAAATGGACCGGCGCATTTACACATTCAGGATCGTCGGTTCTGCATCACCGTCGGGATACCTCCCAGATTAGTTGGCATTTGGGAGATCGCGCATCTACGACGATATGGCGTGGTGGAAGGACGATTTTGTTTCGAGGGTGGTTCGAGATGCGGCCGGGGGGAAGGTCTTCACGTGCTGATAACGGATCAAGGAGAAGATATCGTGAAGATGCTGCAATTAGCGGCGGAAGGGAAGCTGACGAAAAAACGACCGGTTAACAGGGAGCAGATAGTGCAGGAGAGCCCGCGTCGTCAGTTCTCTCGATCGGAAACGAGGGCCAGCGATTTTTTCCCCTCGGCTGTTTACTCGTCCACGTATGAAGAGCAGTGCGACAGCTGCAAGAACGAGAGCTCACCCTATTGGTCGTCCACCGAGAGTAGGCAACAGACTGAACTCGACAGGGATTACAGTAGCAGAGACACCGTCTCCGTTTCGGAATTACCCGATCAGCCAGCAGAATGGCGCAGCTGTTCTCTCACTCGTCAAGGAACATCCGCTCTCGAGAGATGCGCTAGCTGCATCAGCAAGCTAGGAACCGTGTCGAAATCCTCGACTTTGGCTACTACAATTGGAGCGAGCAGTATAAGCAGTCCGGCGGGAACTATGAATAATTTAGGCTGTCATTTACAGCCGCGCACGCTCGATCGGTTATCGTTATCCTCGTACAGCAGCAGCAGCCACGACAGCGACTATTCCAGTTCACAGCAAATGGACTGTCATTGTTCGCAAAGTTCGAAGAGCTCGCAACAACAGACGAGCGTTCAACGTGTGTCGCCAAGTCCTAGCGCACTACCACCGAGACCTCCGAAACCGTCCCAAAGCACTACCACTGCGAAAAAGGTTAAGAAACCTCCCATGCCACTGCCGAACGAACAAGTTTGCGTGCACTCGCGTAGCAAGCAACAGCTGGTCGCACGTAATGCAACCGCTGCTGCTGGTCCTTACGAGAATTACGACGTGCCGAAAACAATCTTGGGTCATCACATGTTGTTAGAACAAAGTTCCCAACCGGATCAGTATTACGACACGCCAAGGAAAATCAAAGAATGCCTAGCACTGCCAAAAACCTATCCTAATTACGATACACCGCAGGCGCCTCAAGCTGTAGTGTTGCAGCAATGCGGTTGCCCGGCCAAACTCACCGTTCAGTCTCCCAGATCCTCGGGATGTCCCTGTCAAAACGTGATGAGTTGGGCCGGTTTCGTACTGCCGTATTGCAGACGAGGAGCAGGAATTGAACCAACCGGGGTTGCCGTGCATCCGGTGAAACTCTCCGGAGAAGGTAAAATGCCTGTTGTGAATGCGAGCGGGGAGATCGCGATTTACGCAACGGCAAAACAGGCCAAAAAATCGGAGAACGTCGGAGAAGAGAAGAACAAAGATAATAATTGCGAATACCCAGAGAACAGAACAAACAATTACGAGAACGTCGAGCCTGTTATCGACACGCAACCTGAGTCGAAGCAAACGAATTACGCGAACATAGATTTCACTCAATCCCTTGAGCATTATGAGAACAGCAAAGACCTTTTGGCAAAGAGTGGAATCTCGCAGGAGGAAATAGAAAAGTTTTCCGATCAAATTAAGAACGAGACACCCGAACTGCCCACAGAAGATTCGTCCAAGATATGCCAGAAGTGTGGCCACGTGAAGGACCGGGAGAACGACTACTTAGTCATGGACCTTGAAAAGCAAACGCCAAAGAAACCGTTCTCCGGTTATTTACCGATGCAGCCGGCACACAATGCCTGCTCGAAGGAGATTTTGTCTAGAATCTGTAGCGGTATAAAAAGCTCGAGTAACCCTGCGTTATCAGGTTCCGCGTTAAGCGAGGGTGGCAAAAAGAGATCCGATTCTGAGTTTCGTGTTCCGGGTTCGGCGATGTTGTCCAGTCCGTACCTTAGACGCCGTTACCTGGACGGAAATAGCGGAACAGAATCCAACGGGAACATTAGTCTGCTGTTAAGAAAGCGATCTTATTCCGCAGAATCTGCTCACTATTTGGACGACGAGAATCACACGTTCCCATCGACGTTGACCATTCACAAATGTTCCAGCGAGGCGGACAAAGCTTCGTTGGTCAAAGGGGAGAACCATTCTTCGTGCGTCAGCTCGGAGGCCAAGATCAATCAAGATAGCGGACAGATATCGATAACCTCGCCTCAGCCGTCGTTCATAAAAATTCGACGCTCCTCTTCCGTACCATCCAAAACTGGTCATAACAGAGATTCGTCTAGTAGCAACGATTCGGGCGTTTCTACCGGATCTCTTAGTCACAGAACGGCGGAATTCGTCGAGTTCGAGTTATCACTGGCCCCGTCAACGTCGACGAGGAAGCAGAACGTGTTGTCCGTTTATAGAAAGAGTCCACCGCCTACGTGTTATCACAGTAGCTTACCAAGGAAATCCAAGTCCAGCGATCCACTCCGAGAATTGTCGTTTCAATTTCAAAAGATCAAAATCCCTACGAAATCCTCGTCGGCGGAAGCCGATATCCCCACGTGTCTCCCCAAGGCCACGAAAGGATTCAACAGCCCAGGCGAAGTGTCCAGTACTCCTTACATCGACTCGCGAAGCACGAGCAGCGGTACATCCGATATGTCGGATTACATCGAGACATTGTCGTTGTCGTCCCACTCGTCATCCGATACGCCAGACAGTCTGAGGTAAAGCGCTCGCGTAGAGAATGTAATTGTTACGTTTTCTTAAAGCTTCTTCGCCCAAAGGGTGAAAAAGCGCCCAGGCTAAGAAGAGGTCATTAAGATGAGGAGAAGAACGCTCAGTCTTTTATTCGGTTCTTTTTGCAGACTGGGTGGCAGAGCAGTGGCAACGACACTTCGTCCACGCAGCGGGAAAGAGTATTACAAGATTGACAGAAGTATTCTCGTTGAGCAAGGAAGAACGTTGACGACACCATCCGCCAATTACGCGAATATCACGCCGGTGCTTGAGAAAAGCGAGTCCCCTTCGCCTGGATATATGAGCAGTTCTCCCTTTGAACAGCCACAACCTACTCGTGAACACTTTTTGTTTCCCGATGTGAGTGAAACGTTTAACGGAATTGTTATCGTGTTATCGCTGCTTGATTACAATAATTTATACTTTCTGTTTTGTGATTTTTACAGGAAGCTTGAACGTAGTAACATTGTTTGGGAAGAGAGCGGAAAACTTGAAGTTCCTAGGAATTCCAAACAAAACCATTAAGAGTATTCATGGTAGAAATTGTAATTGGAACATCGTGACTGTTTACACTATACGCAGGTATCTAGTAGTTGACAATTAACGCATCTCGAATCAATGCATGACTGTAAAGCGTGTGAAACCGAAGGAAAGGAGGTGTCATCTTCCAATGGTCCAAAATTCAGGAATCATAGTAAAGGATCTGTTCAGGATGGTTATCTTTCTGCTTTTCTTACACGTCTTTTTACGATAACGTCTTTTTACAAAAAAGCAAACCCGCACAATCAAAAAAGAAAAAAAGAAACCTAACAGAGTAAAGGGGGAGTTTTCGTAAGAAATTCTAGGTTCTAGCGTATAGTCGAAATGAAGTCAATATGTAATTGAAACACTTCCTACAACGACTCAAACAATTTCTAAAATATGCTCAATAAGAAACTGTAATAGTTTGTATAGTAAGAATCCTGCCCTAGGATAAAAAAAAAAAGAATGTGTGCATCGTATACTTTATATGAGTATATCGTTTTTTGGATATGTTTTATTTTATATGAGTATACTTCTATATAGGGTATTGTACGGCGGTTAAACCAGGGAATTGCAGTTAATGCACTCTGTGTTTAATACTGGTTTATACGATACCATCGATTTACATTCTAAAACAAACAACCAAAAAAAAAGTAAAAAAAAAAAAAAGAAAAGATAAAAGGGAGAAAGAAAGAGAAGAACAAAATGATATGAAAGAATGAAAAGAAAATGCAATGAAAGTAGTGAGTTGCATAGCGTTCACAGGGTTTTCAAATCTTTACTAGTTATTTTCTAAAAGGCATAAGATAACATTTATATAGCCGTGAAATGTCTTCTTTTTAACGAGATTCATATGGTGGATTTATATCGTAGTCTCTGGGCAATCAAAGATGGCACTATGTATAGATTATATACGAGATATCTTTAAATAAGTCTTAAGGATACGCAAACGAATATAACGGAATATAAAACTCGAATTATTTTTATTGAACTTTTTATAGTCCATAGGCAGACTTCTTTCATTGGCATTTTATTGTAATACGTTTCCATTTCTACGCGTTTATACATGTACGTTCGATTCGTATAATTTTCCTACTAGATTTACGTAGATCTACGCAACGAATTAGTTCTGAGTATCGTAATTGCAATATTATATTTCCTTTTCCTATTATTCGTAATCGTAGTAAAACGTACTTAAGATATCTTTTATCTGTACTTAAGATGTATTTATATCATTTCGTATGCGCGAATAACGTCTATATGTCTATGGAATTCTTTACCAAAAAAAAAAGCAACAAAAAGAGGAAAAAAAAAAAAGAAACGAAGAATATTTATTTTTACTTCGACGGTGCAGGATCTTTTTGATAATAAAAACTATATCATAGACGATTAAGCGAGGGAGCTAGTACGTCGTATCGAAGGGGAATCGAACTAGTTAGGCTTATTTTACGTCTGCACAGCTTCGGATCTTTCTTTGATCGTCATTTAACCAAAAAAGAAAACGGGAAAAAGAGACGTATATGTACGAGCTGTAACTGCGAATTTTCTTGTATGCATTTAGTTTCTCTTGCTCGTTTCAACGATAATATATAGCCTGAGGAATCACGCGAGAAAAGCAATAAAAAAGAAGAGGGCAAACGTAAGGAAAAAACGCGCGAGATGAAAATCATGCACTCGAGGGATAGTCGAGTTTTGGAATTCGGGCTGGTCGATATTGATATTACGTAAAGCAGTGATACTGAACGCAATAATAGAAATGCTAGGAGTTATATACAGATTATAAGAGTGGAAAGGAAAAAAAGAGAGAGAATGAGAGGGAGAGAAAGAGAGAGAGAGAGAGAGAGTAATGAAAGAATCGATATCAAATGTTTTCGCAAGTCAGATTATATTAAAACAGATTGTTCTCTGTTTCATGTACATGTTGCGCTCCGCGAAATGGATAATCAAATCAGTATTCAGAATCAAAAAGATCAACGGTAATGAGCATTTACCGTACGTGTTAGAGGTTCATTGAACAATGTAATGTTAACTGGGAATTACGATCCAACGACAATATAAATTGTATCTGCCCCCTCCTGACACGCAAGGAATTGTTTTCGTCGAGTCGGAACAGAATTTTGTAATATACGATATGTCGTAATAACGCACCACATCCGTCGGTGTTTCCCAACCCTGATAATGTTGTCTCTTAACTTCTTTTTTTTTTTTTTTTCTGTCGGAGCAATCGCAACTATCGCTGTAGCAACGCAATGCTTATCATTGCTTATCATTTTTATCACCGCCGCCAGATTTTGGTAAGAATGCAAAACGAAACGAGCTACGAGTTTATTAGCTCTTCGAGGCTCTTTCGCGCATAGAGGGATTATGTATAAAGAATTATATACTTACAGTTGACTCTATAAACGAATTGTAAAAGTATTAACGTAGTATTAATCACAAGACTGAACAAAAAGAAAACGAAAAAAAAAGAAAAAAAGAAAGGAAAGAAGAACGGAAATAATAGTTGCTGTGTGGTTATAAACCACTACTAAACGTAGGAAATATCTAAAGAAGCTAGATTTATATATAACCTTTCGTTCGCACGCGCGACTCCCTTCGAGCGTCAGTTTTCTGATCAACCCCTTTTTAATTGGAGAGTCTTTTCTCTCCCTTTCTGTTTTCCATTATGCATTCCGTGCGTCGAACCGTGTGTCTGTGTCTTCTATAATATCGTAGATATGGCGGAAGCGTAAAGCGAGAAAACAATGAAAGAAATGAGCGTTACGCATCTGCTGCGCTTGGTATAAATTGAAAAGAAAAAGGAAGAAAAAGAAAAGAAGATTTACCAAGTCGTTCTGTCCAAGCTCTCCGAATTTCATATGCTTAACTATATTACGAGAAACTCGTATTCTCCATACGAATGATTTATAGAACACAGCACGAAGAATATTTACGATTAATGAAGCGAGAATCGTACGAATATTATTAAAAAAAAGAAAAAAAAAAAAGAATCAAGATTATCCGAGCGTAGAATTAAATCGATATTTCCTTTATATTTCTCTCGCGTGGGTCGTTAGAGGCCTGATGGAAGTTGTTAGATCGTAATGTCAAGAAAAAGGCTATAATCTTTAAGATAAATGCCGACATTGTACCCCGTAATTTTCAAGTAAATATTGTATAATATTTAAGAAGGATAATAGAGATGCGTGACGAGAGATGCGTTCCGCGGATTTTTACGCAACTCTATTATACCATTGCACCGATGTTTCCCAATCAAGAGATCAAACGACCGATCAAACGAATTATGTTCAATAACTCTCTTAATGAGATCGTTCAACAAAGATCATGTTCGTTGATTCCAAGTGGTGATGTAAGGATTGGGAATTGGTTCTATAAACACATGCTAGTCAAAGTTAAGTACTATACGTAGCGATAATATATTTTTACTGTAAAAGGGACTATCGCGGGCAGGTCGAAGGCTGTGCACGCGCTCCATTGTACTGAAGGAGATAATTATTATTCGAGCGACGCGATCGCCGATTAAATCGTCTCTTTTTTTTTTCTTTTTTCTTTTCTGTCATTCCGCTGTCACGAATATTTTGGATCGCAGCGTACGAAAATCGACGTAACGGACGCTTTCAATTGTAACTGTGTAATTACGAGACTATAATAACGATTGCATTTATTATTAAGACTTCTTGAATGGTAACAAGTAGCTTCTAGTCAACGAAAAATCAAATCGAAAGGCACGGCGAGTGCCGAGGAACTTTCGCACGTTGCAATCCAAACATACTTGGTCTCTCTGACACACAATCCCTCCAGGCATTCGAACGAGCTTGAGACGAGATCACGAGGAATTGCTGGAAGTCATGGCTACGCGTGCCAGCCTTCGAGCCTCGAACAACCATATCTAAGAATTTACTAACGATATTATTGATCACGAATAGCGAGTAACGTTTTTCGAGGGTATTATATATATATATATATTTATTATATATATTATATATACGACATGCTCTGTTTATAATTTCTGTACATATAGTCAGTCGGTGTGTGGCATTAGCGTAACCGTTTCTTTATTTTGTGATCCGTGGGAATTCGCCGCTGGTGAGGACGAGAGACGACATTTACTTGATGTACATATACGAGGGAAGGAACGCAAAAAGCAAAACAGAAAATGGTACACGGCCTGAGAGAGGGTGGCGAGGTTTCTAGTGTGATGAAATGCGCTCAAATCGTCTTCGGGAACCATTATCGCGTTAGAATTGATTTCACTTGCGCGTTACAATGCCGTTTCGTGTAATTGCACGTTCACCAGCGCAATAATTGATTCGCAAGAGACAGGCAGGAGTGAGAGAGAGAGAGAAAGATAGATTTAATGGCGCGAGAGAACCGCGAGCGATCCGCATTGTCGTCATCAGGGATTATTTATGCCATACGAGTAGTCTGAAACGCTTGGCACACATGTACTCACAGACATTGTAGTATATAAAGTACCAGAGACCAAAAAAAAAGTAAGAAGCGAGATGGCACTGGCGAAATTTGTTCTCTCCTCGCGAATTTAAAACCCCCTTTCTTTGCATGCATGTGCGGTCTCGCGATCGGTTTTTCAAACTGTAGAATTTCCATGTGCACACCAACACAGACGCATAAGCAATCCGCTGCACGTGGCCGTCGATGCTACCGGCTCGTCTCCTAAGTGCTCTCGATTGCACGCGATCGTAGCAATTACGGGTAAAAAATGGGGAAAGTGCAATCGAGAGGGACGCGCCGCGTCTTCCTGCGCTCTCGACGCGTTCTCGTTTCTTCTTCGGCGATATCGTCGAGTCACCGATAAAGGAATCGTTCAGTTCGACGAACTGCTTCCTCGAGTACGATTCTTGTATTTCGAGCGTAAGTAGGTCGACGATATTTGATTGGCTCTATCGTACTATTTGATATTGATAACCGGAGTCCGAAGAGCTTTCGTTTTAATTTTAAACTCGTTCCTTGAATTTTCATTGTCTTTCTTTCATGCTCTTTAGTAAACGGGGAATGATTTCTTAATCGTTAATCTCCGAAGGATGCCTCTCGCGAGGAATTCAAGTGAAATATTTTTTTTCATATTCGTGTAAATTTGAGATCAACTTTAACGTAAAAGAAAAAGGAATGAAATAAAGGATTATGTACAGGATCAAATTTTAACTTCGTAACGTGTAATATAAATTACGCTGTTGCTTATGTTGCTCGGTGTAATTAGAAAATCAGTCATTCGATATAGTCCGAATAAAATATTCATTCTCAAGTATGGAACTTGCATCAAAGAAATTAAGTTACAAAAAATAGGAGAAAGCTTTGTGATACAATAAAAAAAAAAAAACGCAAACTTTTATTTCTGTGAACTGTAGCCTCTCTGGAAAATTATGAATTGATTCATTTTCGTCGATCATCCGTTGCTTTCGTCCATCATTGTTCTAAATAGCGTGATTAACATGTGCAATATAACGTCCCCGTGTGCAGAGCGAAGAAAAGACGTTGAGCGCAAGAATGCGAGGGCTATTTCGACGAGACCGTTAGCATCGAGCTACGAAATCTCATACGATACTTCTGCCGTAGTCTGCTGAGCACACGGACGATGATCGTGTGCAAATAAAAGAGCATAATACACGTGAATCATTGTGAGCGAGCTGTAACCGCGTAAATGAATCGCATGTAATGAACACCGTGCCATTTTTATTCAGACTATTACCCTCTGACCGTGAGATGGCGATGCATCAAGGCGATGTAAATGTGTACCTAGAGATGAGAGAAAAAGGAAACGCGTGAATTACACTAGATGATAAGGGCATACATTTGCAAGAGCACCGTGAAAACGAAAAAGAAAAGGAAAATGAGGAAATCGGAATCCGTTTACTTTGACAATCCGTTTCTCGACAGAGGGAAAAGGAAGATTCAGTTCGGACTGTGCTGAAGGATCAGAGAAGATGATCCTCGTCTCGTGAAATAGATGGAAATAAGAAATTTTATATAAAGCCAGGTGAGGTGAGAAATCGTCCTTCGACAGTGTGTTTAAGTTCTACTTGCTCGAGAGAATTTCTAAAAGATTAGATGAAAAGAGAGATATACGTATAGAATGAGAAGAACGGTATTTTACAACTGCGAAGATGAAAGATGTTCGTTGTCGAGAATCACGAGAAAAATATTTAATATAAAGAAAAATGCCGCGTTTATTTTCGAAAATTCTCATTAATTGTAGCGCGAGAACGTCGACGCGCTTCGGAGGCGCGTTCGACGAATTCGAAAATGAAGAAAGAAAAGAAAAAAAAAAAAGGAATCAAACAATAAATCAACGGGAGCTTACGTACCGGGCCATAATCTCACGTTTAGAACGCATTTCATCGGATGGGGAATGAAAAATTCCGATCGATTATCTTTCTCGAATATCTTTTTTATAATCAAGGTAAGCGGGTGCGTGTGAGTGAGCGAGGATGATCGAACAAGAAGAAAAAAAAAAAATCATTATTACGTATTTCGTAAGTAAATTATAAAAGGAACTCATACACAGTTTGTAGCGACTCGAGTCACTGATTTATTAAGAAAGTAGAAGAAATAAAGAGATTAAAAAGAAATTCTTCGTTTGCTTTTCCTTCGTTGTCGCCTTTCCCGATTTCCTTTACGAAACAAATTGAATGAAAACGTCGAACAAGAATCGCTCTTTACCACATTACGAGAAAATACTACGATCATGCATATTTTACAAGTTTCGAGTACCTAAAATGCTCTCTTTACGTCGACTTCTGACGGAATATTTGCAACCAGCATGCATGAAAATGATTTACAAAGAAGAATATCTTATTCGTGGCTTTCATTCAATTATTGAGAGGTAAGATCGTTAAGAGACGGGTGGTGTAACAAAAAAGGTTCGATTTATTGTTCGTAACGTATATTAAAACAGACGTATAATATCGACAGAGCCAATAAAATCTACGATCGCGTTGTTCTTTTAGTCTCTCTTCACATTTAACTAGATTTTTTTGTTTCGTTTCTTACAGATATACCTCACAAAAATACACTTCTTTCTGTTTTGTAACATTCCTCACTCTTTACGGGAGCAGTTACGAGTAATAAAAATATCGTTTCGACGAATTTGATCATTCGTTCATTATGCGCGACGTGAACGTGTCTCTGCGTTATTTATTTTGTTTCCTCTTTGTTCTCGCGTTTAAATATGTATCTTTATTTTACGTTACGTTACGTTATTTTATTTTATTTATTTTTTTGTCATCACAGATTACTCCTTCCCGAAAGAAACACATATGCTATGGCGTTCGATCGTTTCCTCTCATTCGCTAACTTTGTTCCTAACGCGGTAAATTCAATTGACGGACGACGTGTCTCTCCTTCCTTCTCGTCCGATAGTCACCATGCTGTCATTTCGTTTCTTTAATATGGTCGGCGACCGACGTTTGTCCAGGGTAAAGAAAATTCTATCTCTCAAGAGAGTACTCTATACTCTCAAGAGAGTACTCGGCTTACGTAACAATATGTATATAATATATGTATAACAGTGTCGACAATAAAAGTGCTCGTCTCTTTTTTTCTTATATTTCGTTCCTTTTCTTCCTTTTCTACGTATATAAAGAAACGAATACAATTAACAATTACGTGAAACGTGTAGCACGAGTGTGTGTGTATGTATGTATGTACTTCTTATATATAATATACTGCGTATTATTATTTTTTTTTTTTTTTTTGTTTTTACTTTCTGGCACAAAAGTTAATATTAACGTACGGTAAGATCTGTACAAAAATAAGGAGCAGCATTTTAAGCGGTTATTTCTTGGCGAAAATTCGAGATTCGAGAAATTTTACATTCTCCCTTTGTGTGATCCTCCTAAACATACCCGAGTGAACGTTCTCTTCGTTCTCTACTTTCGCTTGCTTTTCTTCTTCCCCGTGCTACGGTTCCTGTAGTTGCACATTTAACAATTTGTTCAATTTTCGTTAAATCATGTATACTTATTAGTATGTATGTATATAGTATATATATTTATATATAATAAATTCTAAGATTTTCTATAAAAAGAAGTTTCTTTTTTTTTTTTTGTCACAAGGTTAACCAACAACCGTACGATTTATGCGAAAANAAAAAAAAAAAAAAAACAAACACAGCGCACACGCTTTCTTTATAAACTCGACACGCCTCCTTAGAATTCTCCCATTGACAACTTCCGTAATCGCTCGTTGACGATCGCCATCGTCGTTTCTGCGTTTGCCATTTAAAATTCGCGAAATCGTACGGCTGACGCTACCCTAAAGTCTCCTATAAAAATAATACAACAAGCTTTGCTATGTTATCATATATGTAAGTCGATAGCCGTACGATCTTACAATTATAACAAAATAATTAATATCGTTACGCGGCAACAATCGATCAGTAAATTGCGTCTCTTTCTAGTCGCTAAGCGTAAAGAGTGTGATCTATTCTCGGTGTTCAGCAGCTTGTACAAGAGAAGGTTATATTATCTTGTTCGTAGACCGTGAATAACGATTAACTGCTACACAGGCGAAAATCGGATTGACTAGCGATTATTCGAAAACTGTTCTATATAAAATCGAGTTCGTTATCCTCGGAAACATGATCGGCGGAAACGAACGAAAGAAGACGAGAGGTCGTAACTAAACGAGGATGAGCATCGAGCGTAACAAACGAGTTATTGATACGTATAAGTGGAGTTAGTCGATGCCTCGATTCTTGAACAATATCTTTGTAAGCCTACTACATACTACTACGATAATTCTCTCTTTTTATTCGAACAACCTACCAAGATCACGATATTTAAATATCGTACGTCGTGATACATGTATATTTTGGGCGTCGTTTCTTCCAAATTTTCACCGTAAACCTCTCCGCATTCGGCGGTACGGTCACTCTCTTCCCAAGCGTCGAAGTCTTCAGCGTCTCTTCAATGGCACTTGCACTGCAAAGCTTACACGGTATATGATACAAGTACATAATGCCTTTAACGGTTTGTACGTTGATACTTGATCGTATCGTTAGACAACATCTTTGGCTTTGAAGCGTTTTACATCTTTCTTCTTTTCATTTCCTTTTGATCATTCGTCCCAAAATACATCTATTTAAAAGCTCAATGAAAATATTCTGCGAAGATATTATACGTGTCCTTTCTCTATTACCGATATATCTCTTCTTGTTATATATCATCATTCCACGATACTACGTATGTAATTATTACACTCGACAAATTGTCTTGGTCAGTCTATATGCGTGATTTTTCTCTTTTAAGACTGTATGATATTTTCGCGTTTTAAGACACAACAGTAACTCCAGTCCGCTATATAAGAGAATAATTATAACCGTTCGACGTGCTTAGAGGGAATCGGGGAATCGAGAATCCCTAAAATTGCGATCAAAAAGTTATTTTTTTTCTTTTTTTTCTTGTTTCTCGTTAGTTCTTCGAATAAAACTTAATGCTGATATTCGTAAATCGATCGAAAATTACAGTAAGTAGTGTGTGTGTGTGTGTGTGTATATATATATATACACACACACATAACGTTTCCTACGTAACGCGATACAATGATGAAAACCGATGAATTAAATCGTTAAAATGCTGGCTGTTATAAATAAAACGTAATACTTGAGTCTATACGATACTAGGCTTTTTATAAATTCATGCTAAATTACAAAAGATCATAAAAAAACTTAGTAAAAGATCCTAGTAAAAACTTATCTAACGTTGTTAGAACATAGAATCCGTTACAAGGAAGATGAAGATAACAGAAAAAAAAGCGAAATACAAAAGTCTTATCGAACATTTAAAAAAACGTTGTTTTACAGGTATTGAAAAACTAGCCTTGCTGTTTACAACTATTTAAGACTAGACCTAGAATTGGCTATTAAGATAATTAAATCTCTATCCTTCGTTATCTCGTGTGTGTAGTTTCGTACATGTAATAATCTATTTAAATATATTCGATCGGTAAGTGAACTTTGATAGAGCAATACGTATTAGATATGCAGCTATAAAATTAAAGTGCAAAATAGTCTTATTCTTTTACTCTTACGAACCTCGATACGGTCTAAATAAAACCAGTCTTCCAACTCAAACTGTTCGTTACGTTTTGTACAAACGTCAAAATATGCGATGCATTTTCCCAATCGATGTATCGAAAGGTAAAAGTTTTTTCTTTTATATTTTAACATGGGAATACTTCGAGTAAAATGAAGCATGAAAAAGTTATCTAGCGTAAAGCATGCGTTACTGACAATAAATGAGAGTTTTATCGCCCGACCTCCTTACACTTTGCCAATTACGTACGAATAGAAAAATATATCGTTAAATCGATATTAACAAGAAGTGGGACAAGTATGGAAGAAGCGATTCGGAACAAGCTTCGTAACAATTTTTAAATACTTCGTCATTTCGTTAAAGAAAACGTTAAATTCTCCTCTTAGAGATTAAATGCACGGAATATAAAGTATCCCACGAAATCTCTCAATCTATCTGACACAGGTCTGCAATTAAATGCGAACCAACACGTACAATTTTTTTCTCCTTTTTTCCCCTTCTTTTACCTTGATCTCTATCTTAAATGCATTCTGTGTAATTACACTAATACAGTTGGTACTCTTCAAACTTTCGGCACAACTTGTCGATCTCCTCATATCTAAACTGAGAACTCACGGGGCTGGAAGCCCTGGTAGCGGGTGCAGTTCTACTACGACGTACAAAATTTTTTAAGGGTATTTTGCTATGTCCCTGATTATGATTTACATCTAAAGTCGAATATCGTCTTAGAGCCCGGCTAAGACGATCCGAAGGTGTGTAGTCGGCAACGTCTAAGCTATGCTGTTCCTTCAACATAGGCTTGGTCTCTTTCGAGTCCAGCATCTTTAAACTAAAGTTCGCAGAATGTCGTTTAGTCCTGTCTAGCATGCACTTTGACTGCACGACTTTAGGCTTATCCTTATCCAATATCAACGAATTCCGTCGTTTCATTTTATCATCCATTGACCTCTCCTCATTCACGCTGAACCCGAATCTCGATCTTAGAGGCCCAATGTACAATACATCCTTTTTGTCTAGCTGTTGATTCTCTTTCACCAGACTCAAACCATCCTCGTAATCAAGCGATCGTAATCTTATCCCTTTCGCTTGACTGCTACCACTTGTTCTCCGTTTTACACCGTCTTCGTACTCGGCGGAGAAATTTCTCTTAGGCTTCCCTTTCTCGAAGTGCGTCGAGTTTCTTTTCGTCCTGTCTAACGTGCACTTGGACTGTACTACTTTCGGCTTCTCTTTATCTAATATTAACGAATTCCGTCGCTTCATTTTATCGTCCATCGTCCTCTCCTGATTCACACCGAATCCGAACCTAGATCTCATCAATGGACCAACATATACCGAATCCTTCTTACCAAGCTGTTGATTTTCTTTCACTAGTCTCAAACCATCCTCGCAGTCAATGGAAGTCCTGACACCGTTCGACTGATCGGCATTCGTTCTTCGTTTCATGCAATCTTCGTATTCAACGGACGAGTTTCTCTTAGACTTTCTCTTGTCAAAGTTCATACTTGTAGGCCGAATGTGATTAACATTGAACGAAGTTCTTCTCTTACCAAACATAGAATCTTGCAGGTGCGGTATCTTGGAGGTGCTCTGGGAGAATTGCACCGGTATTCTGATACCAGCATCCACCAGGAATTCGTCGTCCGATAGCATGACCGGTATCTCGGGCATAGAGCTACAAGGCCAACAAGAGTTATAGTGAGCTGCAAGCGTTCTTACAGTGGCAGTGTCCTTGCTGGCAATGTTAGTGGAAAACTCGCGAGCATAATCTCTGGTTAGTAGGAAATTTTGTTGCGATCTTCGCCGGTTCTCTCTCATGATCGCCAAGAAGACAGACTTTGCGTAATCGGACGAGGGACAAGAATGGAAAGCGTACTCTTCCGCATAATCACATTCACACGGTTCCGGCCACAATATAAATGGCAATGCTAATTTTGATCGGCTTTGCTGAGCCTTTTGCATTAGATAATCACTGCACGATCCATTGTCAAAGTTAGTATGGGTTGTACTAATGTTCGAGTTGGTATGCCCTATTCTTTCCCAAGGATGTGTTAATTGAATTCTGTTAGATGCAAAGCACGCAGAATTTGATATTAGATTCTTGATGATATCGTTAGTAAACTAAGAAAGATAGTGAAATTTAGCTCTACTTTTTCATCAGTTTTAAAAAATCTATTTCTTCTATTCTCGAATATTACTGTTATATTGGATGTTAGCATCATGCTTAAAATTAAAGTTAGTTTTATTTATATGTACGAGTGAGTAAATATATAATTTGCGTACCTTGTTTTTGTTCCGTCAGTTGCTTGGCGAGAAGTATCTGTAATAGATGTTAGTCGTTTTAATTTAATTTAATCAATGATGTATTTCACATTTAATGAGAGACAACGGAAGCAAATATTTACCTTTTGATGATGTTTGCGGTCTGAAAAAGAAAACAAAATGAAATATTTATATTAGTTGAAAATATTATTGAACATTTAAATTATAAAGTATAACTTACATCGTTTTTGATGAGGATTCAGTTCCTCGTCGCCATCCACCTATAATTACAGTAGTGTTCAATTTTTAATTGCTGATAACTATGATAATATATCAAAATTTATTCTTGTATACCTTTCTTTATAGGAGCTGCTGTGCCTGGAGATTTTCCACTTGTCATTGCCGATAATCTTTTTTCTTCTTCGAACTTTCTGATATCTTCAATACCCTGTTTTAAAAGTGCAGCAGTAAGTGATTAATACGAAATGTTTTGTGCAAAAATAACTTATTCGCAATAAAATCGAATTAATATTTTAATGGTACTTACAATTCGGCTTTCATATTTAAGTGTTATATCATCCAACTTTTTTATAACGGAGGTTAACTCAGCTACTACATCTCTGTCTTTTTCGCTATTTATTAAATGCGTTAAAGTCGCCTCTAACACAGTTAACAATTTTTTATCGGCCGGTAACCGCAGCAGGCTTTTTAATTGAGGCATCAAAGAAACTACCTTCATTCTTATATTGGCTACAGTATCTTCTGCCATGTTCAATAAAACAGTGAAAAAATGCTCCTTGAAATATACAGAAGAGAAAATTTCCAAGGCCTCTATCATCATACGGACAAACATCATTCTCACATAACAATTTGGATTATTAGCTAAATCTGTATACAATTTGCTACGAAGTTCTACCCTTTGCATAGGTTTCATATTGTAACGTAAAAGAAAAAGATATAGAGTTCCTGCAGAGAGACGAACGGGTATTGGCCTCTGAAAATTAAAAATAATAAGGAAATTTGATCGCGTCGTATACATGCGATTTTTTTTTATAACTTACAGCATTTAATATTCTGAAAAAGGCCATTGGCACAAAATACGAGTATATAAAGTCACTCGGAAAGTATTTAGGCAATATCTCAAGTTGTGAATGCATCAAAGACACCAATCTCCAATTGTGTGTGGCTGCTATTTCCGACTCGCATTTCAATAAAGCTCTACCTATTTCCATAACAGTGGAATCCTGCAATTGATAAATACATAATAAAATATATTTCACAGATGTCCAGTTAAGAAAGAAGCATGCAGACCATCTTATCTACTCCGATAATTTGACTTTCAGCCAGGCAATCAAGTGTTAATCCTATATGAGGAACTAAACCTTGTAAAACTTCTTCATTATTATCTTTTAATAATTTTATTAGATCCGTTTTTATATGTCCGCTTTTTGGACCCAATACTTTGGCCACCTGCATAGGTTATGTTGATCAATAAAATGTTGTATATCGGAATTTTATAATACAATTAAGAAACTCTCACTTCGTGGATTCCGCATGCTACAGTTCTCCGAACCAAGTAGTAATGATCACTCGCCAATGCAGTAAATGTGAGAAGTAATGCGTTTGTATCGTCCACAGAATTTGACACAAAGATGAACATTGCTGGCAGATTAAACGCGCAACATCTTCTGCACTCGACATACTTTTCATCTTCATCAAGATTGGTACTCATCTAGAAAAATGTAAATTTATACGATTTATGAATGTGTAAACTTGTGTTATTCGTGTAAACTTACAAATGGAATATGAGGTTTCGATTCTTTCTTCATTAAAACAACACCCATTTGTGCAAGTTGTTGAAAATATTTTAAGAACCACGTTTTTTCCGCAGGTAATAAGCATTCTAAAATATCAATCGAATATCATTATTGCAATTGCGATAGTAAAAGAGTGTAAATTCATAAAACGTCTTACTTTCTAGGCCAAGTACAATCTTTCCAAATTCTTGGGCAATGACACATATTACATTATTATCTGACTGTACAGACTGTGTATTTTCACATAATTTTTTAACAAGTGGCACTATGATAGTTTTTATTGTATCTGCAAATAATTATTATTGCATTGTATCAGTCTTGAAAGACTCGCATTGAAAAACTAATTGAAACACATTTTATTACAAAAAAACTTGGAATGCTTATAATGCACAACTAATCATTAAGCATACCTTCCTGAAGATGAGGTAGCAAATACGCTATTGTTTGTACAGAGGCGCATCTTACATTGCTTTCTTCATCACTTGCTAATTCTACGAAAGATGGTAGCAAAGCAGATTTTACAGACTCAGCACCAAGACCTTCAGCAACAAAACGTAGCTGCAAGCAGATACTAGCTCGTACGTCACTATTTACATCCTGACAGAGGGAGTGTACCATTGGTAGAACTTCCTTCTGTATCCTGACAACATTTTAATACGTACACTTATTTAATGACTTTATTGAGGAAGAATAGTCTTTTTACATATTTTGCACATTATCTAATTTCTGTATGTTTCATTATTCATTCAAGAATACCGTCAAAGAATTGCTATTCCCGATAACAAAAATATCAGAGACTTTGATAAGATGAAACATACTCACAGAGCAGAATCAAATCTTGTACAAATCTTTCCTAATATCTTGCTGCATATTATCCTGGAGAAGATAGGCTGTGACAACTGTCCTTTGCTTACAGTCAATGGAAGAATCTGTGTAATTTTATTTCTATTATCATCCAGATGACGTTAATTATTACATCTGAGTAATATCCCAAGAAATCATTATATATATTAATGAAATTATGCCAAATGCATAATTTCTCTTTGCAACAAATGAATTTTGATAGAGTACTTGATGCTTAGTCTAATGCCAAGTAACAAAAATAAATCAACTTCATCACTGATCTACCATAATGATATTGTAAGATTGCATATATGCCATAAAAATTGCGATACGTTTGCCCTTCTAAATCATACAGTTTTCTGAATATCAATTTCTAAGATCATCTATACAAACCTGCTTTCTTATGACTTCTACTGGCAGTAACTCTATCACATCCAGTAAGGTCTCCAGCCATGCATGACAGATAACTTTAAATGTATATATATACATGTTTAGTTACATAGAATAGAATGCATAAAACTGCATGAAACTGATATAGGTTTAACTAGCAACTCTAATCGTACAAATGAATGAAACTTCTTTACCTGGATCACGCTTTTCAAGCGAATCTAAAATACTTTGGAGGAATGTTCGACTGAAGACATTATGGTTGACAAGCTTCTGCTCTAGGATCGTTTTGAATGTAGATGAGGCTGCAATATGGAATTCCGTGGACGCAGTGGCCAGTGACTGCTGCACTTTTGGTATCACGCGTGTTATACATGATTCTGTGTCTGTGGCCAAGAGGCTTGGTAATGTTTGTATAAAATTGAGTTTTTGAATTTCATCGCCTTTCCTGAAATAATTACGCACGTAAACAATACAGAATAAAGTATAGATTAAAATTTTAAAAAAAATTTTCAAATATTGTTTACATTTAAATATATTAATAATCATGTGCATCAACAGAGTAATAATTTATTTTACAAAATATCAAACTTTCTGGGACAATTAAACTTATAAGTACGATCCTGTCATCCTCGCGTTACTTTCCTCAAGTACGTGCAACTTCCAAGGACAGGAATCTTTACATAACGTATCCTTTTGGAGCATGTGACAATGTTTTCACTGGCACAGTGTGCGTGTATTCTCGCGATTTTCATTTCATCGTAAATCCTCGCTGTTTGAAACGATAAATGCTCGTTGTTACAGCATCGTTATGCAAAGAAGAATCGATAATACTATTCGAATCTTCGAATAAACTACGCCTCGAAATCTTATTACTCCGAACGGAGGCTCTTGAACAACTGCTTACGAGATACTCTCGATAGACTGTAATTTCCTCCGAGTGTCTTTTAAAGGACTATAATTAGCAACGCTTAGGCGGCAGGACAGTACACTCCTTGAACGACGCTGCGTTATTTTTGGAAACTGTGTGCATGGGTTCGAACGAATGGGAAAGAGTCGGGGGAGAACGGGAGAAGACGGGCAACGATTGCGAGCGAAGATTCACTAAAAAGGAAAAAAAACAGAACTACTCTCCTCTGTTCCGACCACTTACCGTGGAGATGTGCTCTTGTACAGAGCTTCCTCTTGCAACATTTTCAAAGTGCATCTTATTGTTCAACTGGATCGCACAAGAAAGCGGCGGGGACCGATGTGTGTTTAATCACTATGCGTGGACGACGACGCACGCGTACGCACTCTCATGATGCACTCGACGCAATAAAAACAACACGACGGAACCTAGATGATAACTAAACTGGGCTCCCGACTCCGACGTATCGATTATATGCGACTTGTCGTACGAGGCGGCGAGCACGCCCGAGTTCACCCGGAACCGACCGAGAGCACGGCCTACGTACGTGTACGGCCAGTGATGAAAAACACGTAACGCCCGTGCCGCGCGTAATACAATAGATCGCGATGCGTCGATCTCTAGTCGATCGTTGTGCAATCGACGAAACCGATGCGGTCATTTTGTGATCCCGGCGCGGATGATGCATCCTGCTTTGAGGTACGTCGTTTGCAAGTTTCCAAAAGGGGACGCTTCTTGAAAAACAGTAGCATTCCTTCTTAGTTCGTTACGCAACGTCCGAGAGACGCAGGTTATTTGGATGCGCATTTCCGAATTCTTAAGCTTCAATCGGTTGCGTAACATGCACCGTCTCAACTTGTCTTAACTTTCGTATTCAGATGAATATTAATTCCGATTAATTCCGATGATTACAGTACCGATCGTTCGTACGGCGGGAACAGAAAAACTATACTTATCTTAGATGACTATTTAGACTTTATAAAATTAATTACAAACGATGCCACGTTAGCCTTGACGCGATAATCACACGGGATTACGTGGTTTGATTCAAGGTTTCGTACAGTGATTTGTCGAAGCACTATGCGCAAAATTGCTATTATTAACCGAGCACCAAGGATATGACGGTTCTCTGTAAAAAAAAGAGGTGCGCACACCGAGGAGGACGGATTTTATTTTATTTTACTTCAGGCGAAAATAGAATCGTTATCAAGCCCAGAGGACCTATTATCGTACGTATGTATGTAACTTCCACTTACACCAAAAGATGAAGCGCTCTGTCTATAGGCCTTTTTTCCAAATTAGGATCTAAACTGTGCTTCCTTAATTGCTCTTCATTCTAGGGACGTACGTTTAGACTATGAGTCGATCGTTCACAGAAAAATTGTATTTTTTAATGGAGGGAACATCGCGTTCACGTGTAACGTTTACGTACTCTTAAATCGGATATAGGCTTGTCTAATTGAAGACTAGCGAATTCCTCGTAATCCATAAACATGGTGAATGCATTTTACGGATGTATACTGTAAACGAATATAACCCCATTTATTTGAAAGAATTGATCAGAACAGGGAACGCATGTTCAGGTGGTACTCGCGCGGAAGTAAAAAAAAAAAAAAAAAAAAGAAATAAACACGATCGTCCGCGACGATCTTCGGGAACGATCATTGAATTTCTAGGTTGCAACCGCTCGCACTGAGGGGAGGAATCGTGCGTTAGCACGACGTGAGAAATGAATATTGAGCAGAGTCGAATACATGCAACTGTATAAAATACGAAATATATTTTACTTTTCATAGCATGTCGTATAATTTAGATAAGTATACATACCTTACGGGCATTGTATAGGATATATCATATAAGTTCAATGATATAAAAGATTACAGTTTACATTAATATATACAGAGAGGGGCGAAAGGTTTGGATCACGATCGAACAACTTTGTTCAACCTTCGCCTGTACCTTACAGCTTAAGATAATCGCGCGTATGAAGCACTCTACGATTTATATATTCTAAGTTAAAAAAAAAAAGATAGATGACAATATGGTGTAATTGTAATTAACAGAGAGAAAAAAATAAGAGACAGAACGAGACAGTGAGGGAGATGGAAGAATGATTTAACTTTCATGTTTATTCTGCAATGAATCAGGTTCCTGTTAGAAGAGAAGAAGGAAATGAGAAACGCGAATGCATCATACAAAGAACACAAGAGGAAACGCGATAGGGCAGTCAATGTTGTTTTTCTTATTGCGCGAATCTGCGAACGAATATCCGACGATCTCTTGTGGAACATTTCGACAGAGACAGAAATGTGCGTTTAGCTATACGAACGTATTTAAAAAGATGACGCTAGTACGACAAGTGGAAACGCGAACCTCGCTCTGCGTGGCTGCAATGAAATTTGCATTTTATTATCAGAATTCGTTCCACACATATTGATGCCTGATTTTCCTTCTCTAGACGGCAACTCTTTTTTTCTCTCTTTTCGCACACTATGTATACTTTGTATACTATGTATACTTTGTATACTATATATACTTCGTTCTCCTTCATTTTTACAAAATTTCTTCGCGTAAGGAGACAAATTACGAGTAATACCATCTCGACGCAAATCTTGTCCTCTACAGTCTATGCTTAACAATAAACATGAATATGAATAACTAATTAAAAGAGAGAGAGAGAGAGAGAAACCTATTAATTAAGGTTCGTGGAAGCACCCTGGATCACTGTATAACAGTCAAGTCCTATCGCTAAAAATCGCCAACAGCCGACGCGTAGACGTAGTTACACTTTGCTTTTCTTTCGATCTGTTTTACGCGATAAAACAACTCTGTATAATTCTTCGTTCATCGATGACCACGATATTATACAGATCAGCTATTGTCCCCAATATTGTACGTGCGTTCCAGTTTGGACTAGTTTCAGTCGTTAACGAGACCACGTCTATTCACGATCTCGATCCGCGACTTATTTTTTCGATTCTTTGATTCTCTCGAGGTGCTAACATACACGCAACACGCATTCGCACACGACACACGTACACGCAGACTTGTAATGGCTCCTCGTTTCGTACTAAACGTAACTCTCGTCATCGACAACGGATCTTCCGTATCCTAGGTGTCTGGTGGTAACCGGGGCACGAGGTTGAGGAGGCGGGCGATAAGGAGGCGGCGGTGGTAAAGACCTTGACCTCCCAGCCACTTTGTGTCTGTCTTCCAGATTCATGTGCACCGGTGGCAGATGCCTCAATCTCGGTGGTAGTGGTGGTGGTGTATCCGGCCACGTTCTCTCCTCTTCGTCGTCCTCGTCGCCGTACAAATCGATGGCCTCGGCCTGTTTGAACGAATACAAATCGTTCCTCTCTCTCGAGCCGTATATCTCGCCGGTTCTGTCCCTGTTCCCGTAGATGCTGCTCTCCGATTCGTATCTCTCCGTGCGGGTCGTTTCTTTGTTCACGTATATCTCGCTTTTCACCTTCTTGAACTCGTACAAATCGCTTCCCGAATGGTAGCTACCGTTCTGCGAGACGGGTGACTCGCGATTAACATACATTTCCGACTTGACCTTCTTGAACTCGTTAAATCGCTCCTTCTTGAATTCGTATCTGTCGCTGGACAGCGTCGTGTCTCCCGTCAGATCCTGCTCCGAATTGTGAATGGAGACCCGTTCCGTGCAGATGGTGTCCTGCTGCGTGGCTCTTTCGTATTCCGACCGAAGATCCCGCGTTATGTCCAGCTGCGAGTTCCTGCTGTATATATCTTTGCAATTTTCTACGTTCTCTTTCATGGAATCCTGTCTGAGATAGTCCCTGCCGTAGATATCCTTCTCGTCGAACCTGTCTTTACGGTGATCGTGTTCGTCCAACTTGGTCCTCGGCGTTCTCTTCAGCTGTGCCCTCAGCCAGTCTTGCCTCTGGAAATTTGGATTCGGATAGCCGACGCTGTTCTTCTCCTCCCTGAAATTATGCTCCACGGTGCTCGTATGATGATTGTTTGCCGCGTAACCGTTTATTCGTTCCTCCCATCCGCCGTAGACGCGAATGTACGATTTGCTGGTAGACTTGTCCTCCTTGGTGAGAGATTTGTCGAAGCTGGACGACGAGGCATTCACGGCGGAATCCTCGGAGCCCACCGGAGACTCTGGTATGAACAGCTGACAATCCGACAGGGTCAGACCGGAGTCTCTCGAAAGAGACATGTGGTCCTTGCGCGGTGGTTCCGTCAGGTCCAGGCTGTCCAGAGAAAGCCCACCTGCTGCAACGAGAGAAATTCCTCAGTGAACCATCGAAACAGTTGGATACAAACCGAATGGTCAAAGAACTAAGCGTTCCATTTTGATTTTCACGAGGATGAGAAAGAGAAAGGAAAAAGAAAGAAAAGGAAGAAAGATACTCACAGTGAAGGCTATCGGTGCTCTCCTCGGCTCCACTGTCGCTCCGTTCTTCCCCAAGAAGCTGCGTGATACCCTCCCCAAACAGGACTTCACAATGACGAATCAACATCTCCGTCAACGTAGGAATCGCCCTGCTCTGATTCACTGACGGATTTGGCGACCAGAGTAAACTTGGACCGCAACACACGCCCAAATTACTGGCGCACATGAGATTGTGCTTTGATCGCCGTGCCACGTGGTGCAGAACGCAGATCAGATGCGACAGCAGCGTGTAATTCGCTTTCGGTAATCTATCTAAAATACTGAAACCAACGTTGTTCGTTAAACGCCATGGGAACACAAAGGGAAACTTCACGTTCGTAACAGAACCGTATCAATTTCCTCGCTTACTTTTTAATCGTTTGAACGGGATTTGGTGTGTCCAGGCTGTCCATCCAGAGAGGGAACAGATGGGAAGTTAGCAGAGGATCCGGCAGAGATCTCAGGAAATCTTTGAGCAGCGCGGCCACGGCTATGATCGGGGCATCCTCTAAGCAGCTGGGATCGCCAGTAGATTCGATTTGATCGCGTAGCTCGCGAACGATTCGAACGTTGGCCGATTTCCTGAAGATCCCTTGCGTGAATGGTCCCTTAGCGAACAATTGTTGAAGCATCACCAACACGGGCTTGGGTAATCCATTCTCATCGAGCCTGGACAAATTAACGCCGAACAAACTCGGGTTCAACGAAAGGGATCTCCTCAGTAACCCGGTGATCTTCGATTTGTTCTTCTTCACCGGCGACTTTGGTACCGGACGTAGTATGAAGTGGCACGTGTCGTGTCCACTTTTGTTGCAGTGCTCCAGATCGAAACCTTCCTCCGCGGACAGCGTGTGTCTTAGATTCGACAGTTTGACGGCGAAAGGCCTCTCGTGTCCTATCAGTGGATAGGGCGCTTCGTCGGCGGACGTTCTTGCCCACAACTGGAAAGGTCCTTGGAGGTCCAGGAGACGTGTAGCAAGATTCACGCAGGCCGCCGCTGTCATCTCGGATCCCACCATAATCGTCTTACACTACAAACACGGATGATGCGGATGTAGCGCGAAACATGAGCAACAAGATTGCGCTCGCATAGAATGATAATCGCGCGCAATAGACAGAGATGTAAAGAGACTACGTGTCGATAGATTATAGTTATAGTTATTCGAGATACGCGTTCGCCAGCTTCCGGCAAACGTTGAAGCCTCTCGCGTGCTCTCTAATGGAGGCGTCGAGAGCGGCGCGCGTATTTAAATGCGACGCGCCGGTCGATAATGAACGTCGTACAAAGGCCGGCAGATAGATAGAGGGTGTCCCTTTTTAGTTTAGAACCGATCCAATCCGGCGTCGTTGACGTCAGTGATATAAAAGGGACACCGTCTCAAAGAAGAATGCCTCCAGGAAGGTCAAGCGATCGAACGACGGTCTTCTTCTCTTAGCTTCGCCTCTTCGATGTGCGAAGAATGGACCGTGAAGGCGTGACCCGCGTCTATCCCTCTCTTTCTCTCTCGTTCGACCGTTGAATACGTGTACGCGACTGTATATATTGCGCGCAACGACGGAGAAGAGTATGCAGCACTTACGTATTCCGTGTTCGTGTCACTGTCGTGATACACGACTTGAATGTTCGTGTCCGGCGGCTCTTTCATACTCTCCTCTCGTACGAGTTCGGTCAAACGTCCCCACCAGAGGTCCCTCGCTGCAGCAGTCCTAAAAGAAAAGAACAAACCGCTTGTGTGATGGGTCGCGATAAAGCCGACACCTCGGCGTTTAATCGAACGATATATCTCTTTCCCTCGTGCCACCCTCGGCTCTCTCCTCTCTCGTTTGCGAGTTTATTGCGCCGGGTAAAAGAATTCTTGCGCCGGAGCCGCAGCGTCATTACGACTCCGTCCCGTGGCAGAAGCGTGTAGAGAAACGTGAAAGAGGACGCGAAGGTAATACGAGCGAACGAGATGCCGTGACGCGGCGCGGATGAAAAGCTTGGTGGTGCATCGACGGTCACGTACATGAAAGTCGCAACAACGTTCGTAGTGGGCCAGCCAAGGACGAAGCTCGTCTCCTGGGACTTGCTCGTTTCGGCCACGTCCTCTATGTGCCCGGCAGTTAGCCACAGCTCGCTCATTCTTACGGATTGTTTCAGCTTGAAGTTACCGCCGCTTCGCGCCTTTGCTATGAGCAACAGATCGGAGAAGAGGAAAAGGTGTCTGTCCTGGGACTGCACGCCCTGTACACAGGAAAATGAAATCACGTTAACACGGCGACAGATGGAGTATTTAACAATAACTTGTTAACTTTCTGATCCGCTCACCGTGGTGAACTGCACCGGTGTCTCCAAGAGGAAGGTCCTCGGCGGTGATTTCGGGGCCGGTGAGTTGTTGGACACGTTTAAAGATTTCTGCGACAACACTCTCGTCAGCCTTCCAGGATTGCCGCCGTTCCTCTTGCGAATCAGACTCTTCATTTTCTGAAACGAAAACAGATCGCGTTGCCGCCGTGATGAAACCAATCGCAAACGTTCATATTCCGCAGCAGCAGCAGCAGCAGCAGCAGCAGGGCAAAATCCCTCCGGCTATTTAACCGACGTTTACCAATTAACTTGTCGCCTTTTTTCTTGTGGCAACGAGCGACTATATTACACATATGTATTCGTTGCACGGAATCACGCGGGGAATCGATATTGGAAACGAAGGATATCGACGAGGGGTATCGGGCATCCTTGACAAGGGATTAGCATTAAATTATCGGTTGGGAGATGAGGCGCTCTATCCAGTGTTAACCGGTGTTAAAGGGTTGCAAAGTAATGACTAATTTTGATGCTCGGATCTAGGACATAAATTATTATCGTCCTCGCAGCAGGCGGCTAATAACCGGACGCCAACGTGCCAAGCCGCATTAACTTTCGGATGACTTAACAGCATTATTTCACCGGCTCTCTATCCACCGACAGTGAAACATCGTCTCTCTCTTCAGCGAGAAACTCGTTCGAAATGTTCGCCATGAAGGCCAGCGGTTCGCGTTCAACGAAATCACTGGAAAACACGGATACTGGCCGAGAACTATTGCGTGCCGGAACACGTTCAGTAGCAAAATCAAACGAGGCTCTATGACCTACGTACAACGATGCGGTTCCAGTCGAGAGAGATTCCGCTGCCTTTCCTCGTGACTTCCATTTTCGAGACACGGGGAGACGGACGAACAGTTACAGTCTGACAAATGGAGTTATGGTGGAGTCACCAAATATAGCGAGGAGACGCACGAAACACGAAATTACAAATGATTAACATACTTCGCTTTGACGATGAGAGTCGGATCCGTGTCCCTCGTCGTTTCTTCTTAATTCTTCTCTTACGAAATCAACGTTCCTCGCGTTTCTGTTTCCCCCCCACTCCCGATCTGTTGATCGTAACTTTCAGTCGTTTCGAACTGCGTGCGAATTCCGTGTTACTACTAGAGTGCTCGTTGCGTTCCATTGAATTATCTTATATTAATGAGTGTGGGAATCAAGGTATCGATGACTAGAGATGATTCCACGAACGATTCGTGGAAACGTGTTTTGTCATCGTTCCTCGCTCGAGAGCGTTGAGAAACGCGAGCACGCGTTCACCTATGCGACTAGCGGACGCGTGATCTCCACGATCCCTGCTCTTGACAATACTCTCTTACGCCCAGTATGCAGATTAGACCGCGGTACACGTGGGACGATGACACGCCGCGGCAAACAGCGTTGTCATTCGTGGACACGAATGAAAATCTGTATCAACGGTTCGTGTGTGTGTGTGTGTGTGTGTGTGTGTGTATTTTAATCATTGCGCAGAATCGAGTCGGGAACGAAAAAAGGAAGGAAGAACGAGGCAGGAGTTGAATCCAAACGAGATTGGTAATCTAAACGTTGAATCACGATCTCGGTAGTCGACGACTCGGACTTTAGATCATCCCCCGACGATTTATAATTTACGATATCGATAAACTGTTGAATACAATTTGTGAAGATAATTTGAAAAAAATCTGAAATCTCGGTAGAAAATTATTTTATCCACCAGGTATTATATCGCATTTTCTCACATCGTTTGCATCGTATGCAAATGTGCGAAAAATTCCGCGGTTCATTAGTCAACGACTGATTTTTCGACTACAAACAAAAGGATCGTTCGATTCGAGAAATGACTAATCCTAACGCATACGGTGGCTTTATGAATTCAAGTAAAAACACTTCATGACGATTAGATATTCACTGAAATACAAATTATAATTTCGAACGTGTAAAGAATGGAAATTTTAGATGACGAATACGAATTTAAGTTACTTCTACGACCGAGTTGAAAAATGCGACGCGTTTCCTGCTTAATCTCGCGATGCTGGTTTTTTTTTTTTTTTTTATGTGATACATCATCCATCACGCGTGCAAATGACATAGAAGATTTTGTCATGGTGGAGTGGCCTGTGAGATGCGTGGGAAACATCACGAGTGGCGAACGGGTGAGTGTTTTTCACGAGAGTGCTAGGAAAACTACCGTCAAGTGCTCGTGAGAATCGTTGAGCAACGTTCTCTTGATCTTTGTCCGTAATTGATACGTTTTTTAGACAGTTAGACTTGTTCCGCATTTATGGGAAATTTAGAAAGAAATATAAAACAAAAAACTACATGGAGTAAAAGAAATTACAAAATATCTAAACTCTTATTACGTATTATTTACATTTAGCAAGAGGAGCTTAAATCTCTGCTTAGGTTTCATCGTTGATAAGAATTCAAATTTGCATAAAAATTCGCAGCCCAATGACGCGCAATTGCAGTGACAAAATAAAAACGTGTCTTTATGTCACGAATGTATATAGTATAGAGAAACAAGTAAATACCGTGGTGAGGACATCTCGCTCGTGTAGCCGGAGGTTATCACCAGGAAAGAGTTCCTGAATACGATGAAGATCACCCTCGAGCTGTCCACGTTGAAGTACAGCGCCACTCCCGACGCTTCCGTTTCCGTTCTCCACTAGATTTCTCGCCTCCTGGCCCAGGTACCTCTCGTATTCGGCCAACCTCTGGACCTGCAACATTTAGAAAGCATTTCCTCGTTAGATTTCCGCGTGAAACGATTCTTCTTCGAATTCTAAATGTTATCAAAAATCTTGTGACTCTAAAAAGTCATCATATTTCGAATTCTATAACTATATTGGTTACCGTGATCCCAGAATTTATTCAATAAAAGTGTATAAATTCCAACAGACTAAACTAAAAAGGTATAAAAATATAAAGTATCCAAAAGATCGAGTCTTTGGACTGGTAACAAGGTTTGCGAAAGCTGGAAAAGGAAACCATTGAGAAACTGGGAGCGTGCTCGACGCGCTTAAAATTACCGATTACTAGCCGTAACGCGAGCAGAGTGTTGGCACGACAAAAGATCGACGCGGACTTTTCAATCGGAACGGTCCGGATAATTGTCGTCCGCGATACATCGAGGCGAGTTATGTAAATCCGCGGCGACTCACCGTTCAATCACGTCGTGCCGTTTCGTTCGAGCGAACTCCGCTCGTTCGAACAGAGGCTCTCCTGGCTCTCCCGCGGCCACGCGATCGGTTGATTCATTGCTTAATTGTTACGAGGCACGAGCTGTTCGAATTTCCGCTCCTGTTTACAATAACCACCCACGAGGATTGGCCGAGGTTCTAAACGGACAATTATAAAACTGACAATTTTCGTACATCTCCCTCCTCGAAAGTCTCTTTGGATCATCTTTATATTTAGTGGAACTTCGATGTTCGAAGATGTAAATGTCAAATGGCATCGTTTTAGCAGGCTAGTTTATTTCTCGTGAAGTATCAAGACAAATTATGTTTCCTCGATGTATTTTTAATTACAATGTTACGAGACATTTGTCGGAATTTTGAAGTCGAAATGTTGCATTTACAAGACCTTTTAAAATCTTCATCTTGATTGCTTTAAAAAAAAATAATGATAATTAGTTGTTACGACTTTGAGAACAACATTGAAAAGTTTCATTTCAACAGTCGATATTATTAATATACATCGCTCAACTAATTAACAATGCCATTTGGATCTTGAGAATCATAAACCTGTATTGATGGGAGAAATATTTATATCAAAGAATCTGAAAGGTATTCTAAAAGAAATGAAAAATTGATTGCACCATTAAAACAAATAATCTGTTTAAATAAAAGCGAAAGTTTTTTTGATGATAACATATCAGTGTAATCATGTTGTATTACTACAGAAAATCAGAAGCTTCTTTTCCTTTCTTTTTATTATATATTTGTACATCATTGTACCTATTGTACCTATTTACACGCTGATGAATGAAACCCTTTGGGTTGTATTAAACCTGGCATCATTTAACTTTCACGAGACTACAGAAATTAATAGTGTACAAACTATAACAGATGTACAAACAGCTGATATTAAAGCATTTCTCACGCCTTTCAACGGCCGAACAAATAAATTAACTATTCGAGAACATGCGAACGGGGGTGTAGACGTGAGACATCGACAGAAATATCACGGTGAATTGCTGCTCTCCCCAACTAGTCAAGGGTAAGTACGCCGACGTCTTTGCAATTAGTCTCATCCACACGGTGCTTCGAAATTTTCAATTAAAATACGACCACAGCGACACGGTACCACCCACACAGAACCGACTCTCGTAACGAAAGCGTATGTATCACTTTTACGTCGATCGCTACGTCGATCGAACCAGGAATCGGATTTGATATCGACGTACAAACGAGGTCTACTCAAAGCAGGTCAAGTCGCGGTTAATCCCAACCAGAGGGGTTTAACAGCTCAAATTTCACTACGCTGCCGATTATTCGATGATCGATCGTCAATGATTGGGCAATCACTCCGATGTTTATCATAAGCCAACGCTTGTATGGCGAGATTGTGAAATCGGTCAAGTTTACGTCACGATTCCAACGAACTATTGTTCGCTGGTATTAGAAAACTGTCTCCGGAATTATTTAACGTGATTACAATGTTCTAACTAACGTTGGAAGGAACGTTCTATCAACATTTTATATTCGCGAAAGTAGTTGGAATCACATAAAAACAGAATCCCCATAAAACGGATCAGATGATTTCGAAGAAAGTAAGTACCAGTGAGTATAGCAACTAGCTGATCACAGAATGAATTCTATCCAGAGTAGTGATTTTATGCACTTAATCGTAGTATGTAACATCTTGAAAAACACTTGTATGTCGATTGGCCACCTTTCTTCTCGAATTTTAGCGAAAGACTAGTATCACTCGGTCGTTTGTCAATCGTAAGAATTTAAAGTTAAAGTTTCGATTTAATTAAATTTAATTAAATATAATTAAATATAACTAAATATAATAATTTAATTAAATTTAATTAAATTTTCTCATCAATTCTAATACATAAAGTACAGAATAAGATAAAATAAATCCCGCAAACTTGGCACAAATTATCATCCACTACATCTATAACTCAGTAACGCAATATGAGCGTCAACTTGAATTGCGACAATTCTGCACCTCACTTGATTATTTCATAATACGATATTATCCACAAATACCTTAGACAGCAGAAATCTCTATAGACACCGATCCTTTACGGATGCTGTCATCACTCGATTAATTTGAAACCTCATCACAAACTACCGTACCAGTCCCAAACTCGCAATTACACACTCACGCGCTTCTTCGTACTCAATCTTTGCGTATTCAATCTTTGCTGCTCCAATCATCATTCGATCGCACGGCAAATTCTTCTCGCCGTTTGGTATACGTACGTTCGACGAATCGGACGCGTAACCCTCGTCCATGAACATGTCCACGTACTTGATGAACATCTCGATCGCGAAATACGAACGTTCGCGACGAGAGGAGAAGTGAGTACGCAGACGGCAGGAAAGGCGTGACGAGGACCGGTTACTCGCCTCCGAGCTGCCAAGAACGACTACGAGAAGAGCCGAGCGAGATTTCGCGCGCAACACACGTCGCCCCGTGATACATCTTTCGCGTGGAATGAATCATCGGGCCACCGGAAGTAACCGCTTCGACCTCCCGAAGGCTTCGATGGTTCGTGTGTCACTGTTTCTCTCACCTATCCGTCATCTCGCGCGCGAGAGAGACTCGGCGACTGTCTAGAACGCGTGACCAAATCTACACGCTGTTTCGCGATCACGTTTTTTTATCGAGATGGAAAGTTTCCGTGAGTGGGCCTAACCGTAGAGAGAGAAAGAGAGAGAGAGAGAGAGAGAGATATCTGTTTCCTTTAATGGAAGTCCTTCGCTTTCATCTGCTAATCGAATCATCTGCAGAGGAATATTTCTGAATTTAATGTGCCTACGTTTTTTTATGTATTCCTTTCTTGAATATTTAATATAAATTTCACAAGACTTAACTCGCTAATAATAGTGACGTTCACGCATTAATCACGTGACAAATCGCGCGACATCACTAACTGCAAGGCTACCTTCTCCTTGCTCGAGCGAAGACAAAATATCGCGATCGTATAAAGAACACTTTATCAAAAATTCTGTCTTTTCATCAAGGTTTTTTAACACAAAGTCATGTTTCTGAAAATGCAATTTAGAAAATGGAATCTCAGTAAAAGTAAACAATATTATAGAAAGCGGTATCCCTCGTATTTTACGTTACTCAACGATTTCACACGTTACCGAGTGAAATCTTTATTAAATAATACAATCGTCGAAGCTTTACAAGGGTACAGAGAACAAAATTTCGCTGAGAGAACAAGTTTTCTGTAAAAAATTCTACAAATAAAATAAGATGAATAAAAATTTTCCTCGAACATTTCTCCGCAATGTTGTAGCCAACGACGATGGAAAGAAAAAAAATCCCCGAAACCACACAAGTGCTACCAGTTATGTGAATATTTTCTTTTCTGCCGTTTAAAAATTCTTCTCAGGACTCGAACACTACCTACAATCAACACTATAACGGAATCCATTCTAATCATCGTTCATTTCCTTTATCCTCGTTTCGCGATAATTGCCGTGTGTTTCGGCGTGTGCTTTGCACGGTAGTCGGGAAAAATTTCTCTTTCACCGTATAATTTTCGCAGTTTTGTCGCTACTGGCATTCTTCGATGAGTATCGTCGACCGTGAGGCCGACGTTCGATATCCTCTCCCCCTCCCTTCTTCGCTCGTTTTCTTTCGTTCCGTTTCCCATCGTCATTGTTCCAACGACACACGTACTTTTACGCGGCATTCTTATCCCGGCACCGTTTCCGAGCCCGTTTTCGCACACTTTCACCTCGCGCCACGTCGATTATATTCCTAGAAATAGCTGGAAACACAGAACGCAGCGTTGTACGCTCGATCGACGATCGATAATCGTTATCGGGTCACGAGCTGGCCCACGTTTCACCGAACCCGCTCATACGTATTTTCTTCTATTTCCTCCACCAACGATAATACACGTACGCCAAAAGAAAAAACAAATGTACGAAAAATACGTAGAACCGCTCTTTCTCGTACTCGATATTCAGCGTGTAAGTCTTTCTCGTTGAAACACATCGACACACTCCAAGTTCCCGGAGACGTTTTTCTCACAGGTTTCTGTTGACCGAGTCGTTGAAACAACCTAATTGAATTTTTCTTTTTTCGACGTTCTGCGACAACGACTAATGCGCGCTGCAGAAAAAGAAAAGAACGAGAGAGGAACGCAGGGAAACACGTCTGAAACATGTTCAAATTCCAGAAGGCTGAATACCAATACCAGCAGCTTCCACGATGAAACATTTTACACTGCGGCCTTTCCTTTTTCAATACTAATCCCCCACATATCCGAGAATCCTTCGCGTCTCCCCGATGAAAAAGAGGAGGCTCGGGGAAACCAGCCGTCGCTCGAAATCCTCGGCGTCACGGTCCGTGCGATTCGTTTTGGGCACAAAGGGTTCCGTCCCCAATCGCGCCTCGAGATCAGCGAAATAAATACTCGGGAGGGCTGAGAGAGCTCGAGAGTGCTCTCTTCAGTTCAGAAGGGATTTATCCTAGATCGTCGTAGAAGAAAGGAGAGGCTATTCTCGCTATTCTGAACCTCGGA